AGTTCTGCAATAGCATGTTGAGTGGATTTACCTTTTTGGAAGCTACTGTCTGTTAGAAATAATGGAATGTTTTTGAATAAAATTGTCTAATCTTTTTTTTAGTAAGCTTTCGAATATTTTTGTAAAACTGGTTATAAGAGAAATTGGTCTATAATTGATGGGATCCAGTTTATTACCCTTTTTGTGAATGGGTATAATTATTGACGTTTTAAATGATTTTGGGCAAATTCCTGTGTCAAATATTTTGTTCATTATTGTAGAGAGAGGACATAAAATGGATTTGGCTATAAGTTTTACAGTAGTACTAGTGATGCTATCAAATCCAACAGATTTCTTGTTTTTAAGATTATTGATAGCCAAATTTATTTCAGAGGGGCATGTAGGCATAAGAAACATTGAATTTGTAATTTTTAAAACGTTTTCTTTGTAGTTTTTGTTAATTTGTTTGCAAGCTTAGCACCCATGCCAATATAATGTTCGTTAAAAATGTCACATATTTTATTTTTTTCATTAACAATTTTATTTTGTTGCTTAATTTCGTTTACCTCAATTTTTATTGGTTTATTTTTAAAAAGATTTATAGTTTTCCATAGTTCTGTATTATTTTGACAATCTTCTATTCTGTTTTTATAGTAGCTATTCTTGGCTTTTTTATTACAAAATTCAATTTATTTCTGTACCTGTTAAATTCCATTTTCTTTGCTAAGTCTTTTGTTGAACAATATTGTTTAAATAGTGTGTCTCTATTATTTATTGATTTAATAATTCCTTGAGTAATCCAAGGTTTTCTTTTTTGATTTATTTTTTTAATCTTTTTATTGATTGTATGTTTATCAATTTTTTTTTAATTGTGTTTATGAATGTATTTTTCACAGAATATATGTCACCTTGAAAAAGCTCTTCCCAATTTATAGACTTTAATTCTTTGTTTAATTCCCTATAGTTAGTTTGTTTGATAAACCTATTTTTGTTTTGTGTTGAATTAGCTTTATTATTTAATACAATCTGTACAGCGGTTGAATAATGATCAGTGATTTTAGTTTCAATAGTTATTGGTAGTATTTGGTCTTTTTTTTGATTTAAGGAATATATGGTCTATACAGCTGCCCAGACCGTCTTCCTTTCTCCTTGTAATTGTGTTAATTAATGATACAAAATTATTTTCTCCCATAATTCCAAAGTATTCGTTTACAGAGTCGACCGGATTAAGAATATTTATGTTTAAGTCCCCTGCAAATAAATGTATATCTGCCTTGTTTGCAAAAAACTTTTGATATCGATATCATGCAGCCTATAAACCCCTATAACACTAATTCGTTGGTTAATGAAATTTATTTGTGTTTCAATGACCTTGCAATTATTTATTTTTTCTATTCTTTAGTCAAATTTTAACTATTTTTTAATAAATATTACAACGCCATCATTTTGGTTAAATGAACCCCCACTATATACAACATTATAACCACTAATTTTTACCAAATCTATATTAATTTGACGTGTTTCTGTAAGAACTATACAATGAAATTTGTTGCGAAATTGATCTAAAAAAATCTCAAATTCAGGTAAGTTTTTTGTTATACTTCTTATATTTAAATTTAAAACCCTAAAATTTTCATTTTTTGAATTTATTTCAAGAACTGCATTGTATTCACATGCGTTGCTTACTATCTCCGTTTGAATATTACTTGCCTCAAAATCTCTTAAAAAAGGATTCATTTTTATAAAAAACAAAAATTTCTTAAAATTTAATATAAAATTTAAATATACAATACATTTATTCATAAAACACTAAAATTAAATTATCCATTATATGTAATAAAAATGAAAATACCCAAAACACATATATGAACTATCTACTAAGTTCTTATTTATCTCTCAAAATTTCTTAAAATTTAATATAAAATTTAAATATAATAACACATTTGCCAGGCTTGCGCAATTTGGCCAAAATACTTGGTTGTAATCCAGAAATTGTAGCAACTTGGAACCTATTATTTTCAGACGACATGACCGAAGAAATAATACACTGGACAAATAAAAAAATTACTGAAATGAAAAAGAAATATTCAGGATCTGACGTTGCGTTTACAGGCGATACAAATGTTGTTGTGTTTGCAACACACGATGTTTTCAGAGCCACAATGACTCAAAAAAGATTTTTGTTTTTATTAGCATGCTTGAGATTCGATAATCCGGATGACAGGGATGTAAGAAAACAAACTGATCCGGCTGCTGCTGTTTCTAAAATATTCAACAATTTAAATGAAAATTCTCAAAAAAATTTTGCTGTTGGGGAGTCGGTGTGCATTGATGAAATGCTTGTAGCATTTAGAGGGCGTTTTAAATTTAGAATGTACATGCCCCTAAAACTTGCTAAATACGGCATAAAAGTATTATGCATGAAAGATACGCGAAATAATTACTTATATGACTATGGCTATATTTATTATGGAAATTTTCTAAACCATCACAAGCAGTACTTAGACTTACAAAATCTATTGTTAAAACGAACAGGAACGTAACAGCTGATAACTGGTTTAGTTCGATAGAGATTGTAAGCGAACTCAAAAATCGAGGACTAACTTATGTTGGAACGCTAAAAAAAATAAAAGAGAGGTGCCTCGTGCATTTTTACCGAATAAAACAAGACCAATTAATTCCTCTCTTTATGGTTTCAGAAAAGACATGACCCTTTTGTCCTACGTTCCAAAACGATCAAAAGCTGTTTTACTCATATCTTCCATGCACCATGGCGTAGCAAATTACTGCTACAACTCCACTAAAGCAGAAGTAGATAGTCTTAATAAAAAATGCGCCAATTATTCATCTAGTAGGAGAACCAGACGTTGGCCAATGGCTTTATTTTTAGCCATATTAAATATTAGCACCGTCAACGCATACGTCTTATACCAGAGTTACAAAGATACTCCACATATATCAAGATTGAAGTTTTTGAAAACTCTGGCTAAGTCACTAACGCAACCTCAAATGAAAGCAAGACTGGCTGGAAAACACTTACGAAAAGAATTGCATTTCACCATTGAAAGAGTATTGGGTGTAAATGGAATGGAGCAACAAGCGGAAGCTGGCGAAGCAGATGTACTAGAAAAACGGGGAACGTGCTATCTCTGCGACTGGAAACTCAAAAGAACAAAATATCTATGCTGTAATTGTAAAAAACCCATTTGTTTGCAATGTAGTCAAAACATTTGCAAAGATTGTGTAAGAGACTGAAATTTTATTAATTTTAATATTTAAGTTCTTTTGTTGCTGTTTATGTTTAAAAATATGTTATATTTATAAGAATTTTTTTTATGCTTATGTATTAAAAATTACCTTTCTGTAGCATTTATTTTGTAAAGTTTGCTTTAATTAAAGTACAAGAACCATTAAAACCTAAAACACAAGAACATTTTCAACACAAGGGCTCTTTTATTGCAACCCGTCTGTCAGACGGGTGTATACCAGTTACGTTACATATCACAGGTATACCAGTTAAGGGTTCATTTTGTTTAAAGTTTGATGATAATTACTTAAGAAATGTTATTTTTATTTAATATTTTATGTGCATAATGTTTAAAATAAATAAATGTATAAATAAGCCGTTTTATATCGCTTTTTTAGTTTTTCTGGACCTTCTTTCTTGGTACTTTTATTGGTAGTAATATTTAGTTTTATTCTTAATTTATTAATTATAGCTATTACCTAAATTTCGGCTGCATTTTTTTCTTTTTTGTATTGGTAACTTTTTAAAATTAGTTAAGGGAATTTTTAATATATTACAAATGGGTGTTAAAATTTATTCTATGGATTGAATATCGCCATCTAAAGTCGGTTCGTAGGTAATTATTAATTCATTCATTCATTAATTTTTTACCATTACCATTTTTTAACAGTTTATTCATAAAGGCCCATTTTCAATCAACTTTCCTGCTAGAGTGGGAGCCAGAGTGCAAGCTTGCATTGTGTATTTCATAGTATTCATTTTCATTAAAATCTTACTCCAGCGCATAATCCGCCGTACGTGCTAAAGCTAAGAAGGTGCAAGCTTTCGTGCTGGGTCTGGCTTGGATTTCAATATGGCAGCAGACAAACAGCTGATTGCAGAAGTGAAAACAATCCTAACCTCGAATATTTCAAATAGCTGATTGCAGAAGTGGAAACAATCCTAACCTGATAAGGTTTCTTGTGACAACTCTAATGCATTTTTTGATTTTGATGAATCCGAAAATATTCCTGGGACAAGTTTTTCTCAAAAAGAAAACAGCTTTTCAGAAGCAGCAAATTTTATAAAAAATAAAGCAGAAATTGAGTTTGTGCGGTATATTAGTGATACCCGACTATTTTCGTTTGCTAAAATTATGAATAGTCCAAAAAAAAGCATTATCTGATGGTAATTTTAAAAAACTCGTGGTTTTAAGGAATTATCTTTAAATTTAATTTTTATTTAATTTTGTTTTAAGTTTGATGATAATTATTTAAGAAATGTTATTTTTATTTAATATTTTATGTGCATAATGTTAAAATAAATAAATGTATAAATTTTTATTTGTATTTTTATAGCTTATAGTACCAAAGTATGTATAATGTATAAAGAATAATTAATTATAATAACTATTTTAGTACTCTTTACTCGTGTTTTTACGATTACTACTCGTAACCGTGACCTCCATTTACAAATGTACTTACGAGTAAATATTTTAAGTACTTGTGCCCAGCTGTGGTCAAAAATATGAAAATATTATGTTTGAATATTATCATTTAATCTTAGTTTTAAAAAAATTAAACATCTGTAGTAATATATCAGTTATATATGAATCAGTGGTATGGGTGGAAGACTAACAATTCGTCGTAATAGCATCATAAGCGACTTCTTCTAATGTATTCCTAAAATGGGACTTTATTTCTTTATACCGGCAAGGCAAAATAGTCCTTTTTATAGTTGTTTCAGAAGAAATTTTATATTTAGGATCCAGTTTATTTATGAAATTTTGAAAACATCAATCTGCCACAATGGAGAAAGGTTGCATATCTGATAAGATCAAATCTACTAGAGCTTTGTCAAGTGCTTTTTTCCTGCGATAATCCCTGTTGTTGTACGGAGCTGGATGTTCCACGAATTCCTGTATATTTTGTAGCCGGTATCGTTTTGGACAAGGAGAGTCTGTATCATCAGGTGGTAACGGTTTTTTTTTGTTAAAAATATTGTGAACTCGTCGTAAGTCATCTATTAAGTTTAAAGTATTTCCACTTGTCTTGTAGTTCTTTCTGCATTTATAGCAAGTGGCCCTTCCAGTTGATTCTACTTCATCTTTATCGAAATAATCCCAAATAAAACTCCTGTTGCTGGGCATTTTAAAAATAAACTTCGTCAAACCCTAAACAACTTTGACAGAACAGTGTTTATGGTTTACAAATATATTCTTAAATTTACAATAAATAAAATAAGCATATTTGTGCAACTAAATAAAGTATAACATATAATTATAAAAATAAATTAAGAATAAATAAAATGCATTATTATTCAATAATAATTAAAATATCTTTTTTTAAGTGGAATACAAAACGGACATATGGCAACACTTTATTGCTTTTAACTTGACATTACGTGACATTATTTTACGATTTATTTAAATTCATATATAAATCATTAAAAATACATAATACAAAATAATAAAAATTTGATTTATTTAAAAATAATTTAATTTTTTTTTACAAGTGGTGAATACCGGCCTTCAAAAGGACATATGACAACATCGCTCCAACCACATACACGTAACACAGAGCAAGCAGTGGTGTCAATACGTAGAAAAAAAATGGATTATTTTTTTATTGTAACAAAACAAAACAGAAATAATGTTTGTAGGAAAAACTTCTGTTTATTTAAAATTTGAAAGTTTATTCGATATTATCGACGTGACTATCGATAGTTTTGATAACGGCTAACATTATTCTATATCGACACTATCGATAAAACTATCGATATAATCACCATCTCTACTCTAGATGAGTACGCCATTGATATCCAAACAATAAAGATCTAGCAGCGCAGTAGATAAATGCATGCAAGAGAAAGTGCCGACTTGCATCTGAACCCTCCGTTAGCCAACGTTAGGCGCGCGGTATTTTGTAACACGAAACACTTTAAAAAGAAGATATACTTCATGACTGTATTTTTCTAATGATTTTATTAAATATGATTACTAATTAATATTATTGCTTTTGTTTCTATCATTTGTTTCACTAATTTAGTTGATTTTATCCCTTAAATATATTAATATAATTAGTATTGCTAAAATATACTGTTATATGAAATTTCAGGTTTTTATAAGCATTTCTTTTCTTGGTGTCTTCCCAAAAATATTTCAGGCAGTTCAATAAGTTTTCGGTAGTCATCTCTCACAATAGACTCTTTTAGTTATTTAGAGTGATAGCTTCGGATTGTTTTTGGGACCAATCGGTTTAGAGTAATTGGGTGAGAAGGCGGGTAAATTGTCAAAAAAAATTTTGTTAAAAATCGAGTAATATTATATATATGTCGTTTTAAGGGTTTTTGTGCATGCTGATATCAATTTTACAATATATTTAAAAAATTTATAAGAAAATAGGGTGGTAGTAAACAAAGAGAAGGAATTAATTTTCAAAAAAAATGCTTTCTTACATAATAAATCAATTAATACGTCGTTTTAAGGGTTTTCAAGCACAATTAATTTAATTTTGCAATCTATTTAAAAATTTTGTGAATAAATAGGGTACTGGTCAACAAGTGGATGGGGGGGGTTAACTTTTAAAACATGGTTTTTTTGTAAAAAAAAATTGAGTAATATGTCGCTTTAAGGGCATGCTGATTTCAATTATATAGGTATACTATTTATGGTTTTTCTGAAGAAGTAAGGTGGGAGTAAACAAAAGGGGAGGGTGAATATTCGAAATTTTGGAAAAAAATAAGAAATAGGTAGGTATATCATTTAATGGATTCTTTGATTCTTAAGCATGCAGATTTTAATTTTGAACTATATTTTATGTTATTATGAAAATTATGGTTATTTTTATTAAGATACAAACAAATTTTACGTACCATCACTTTTTATTGATAAACGAAATATCGCGTGTGTGATGTGGAAGTATTGATTCAATTTGAAGCTGTTTTTTTCTCCTAAAATCAAATTTCGGTCTATCATTTTTTTTCGGTATTTATTTACAGAGTTTAAAAATGGATAAAAACAAAAAAAGACAAAGCTCTATCTCCGATTGTTTTAAAGATCCCAAACAAAGAAAAGTCGTCAGTGAAAATGAGCCTAGCTGCAGTACTGGATCTTCAAATAATATAACAACAGAGAAGGGCGACGAGTCTGTGCAGCACTCTAAACCATCTCAACCAGATGTCCAAACATTTACAGAGTCTCTAGAAAGTCATAATAATGATATAAGCAACTTTATAAACCGTCGTCTTCGGCAGGATGAAATTTCTGAAGCATTAAATAATATTTGGAAACCGCCGTTAAATTACAAGTTCCCTATTACAACTTATGGACAAAAACATCTGAAATTTCAACATTCATGGTTATTGCGGTGGTCATGGCTATCCTATTCTTCTAATGAAGATGTAAATATTGTTCGATTTTTGCTAAAAAGGGTGACGGGGCTATAAACTATCAACAATTGGGCACATTGGTACGAAAAAAGTTTAATAAATGGAAAGATGCCATAGAAGTTTTTAATAGGCACCAAGCTTCACAGTACCACCAACAGTCACTAGCAAGTTCCGATCGATTCAAATATGTAATGAATAATCCACAACAATCTATAGAAAACTTGCTTGATAGTAAACGACAGAATCAAATCCTTTTAAACCGGAAAAATATCAAACCAGTTATAGAGGCGATTATTTTATGCGGAAGACAGGATATTGCCCTGCGGGGACATCGCGATTTTGGTCCAATTTCATTGACTGATGTTCCCCTTTTAGGGCTATCCTTAGGTACCGCTGTTTGGGAGATGGGAACTTAAAGCAATGTTTAGAAGAACCTGGAAAGAGAAACAAATACATAAGTCCTACTAGCCAAAATGTTATAATACAATGCTGTAATAATATAATACTTAGGAAAATAGTTACCAAAGTAAACAAATCTCGGTGCTTCACATTGCTCGCCGATGAGACCTCGGATATATCTGGAGTTGAGCAAGTCTCGATTTGCGTAAGGTATTTTGATGTAGATGAGCATGTTTTTCGCGAAGACTTTCTGCAGTTTGTCCCTGCAAAAGAATTAACCGGAGAAGGAATCGCAAAAACTCTGATAGAAAATCTTCAGGAGTTTGGCGTGAAAACAAAGTATTTACGTGGACAAGGATATGACGGTGCTGCCTCCATGTCAGGAAAATATAATGGTGTGCAAGCTCATATAAAAAAACTACATCCACTAGCTCATTATGTGCATTGTTCGGCTCACAATTTAAATTTAGCGGTGTCAAAATCTTACCGAGATTCAAGCAATAAGGAACTGCATTGGCATTGTTGGAAAGTTGCATGATTTTTTTGTATACCCCAAACAAAAAGCAGTCCTCAATGAGATTATTGAATGGAAAATACGCCCACTACCAAAAGCCTTAAAAGAAATTGTGCTACAAGGTGGATCGAGAGGTATCATTCCATTAACGATTTTATTCAACTATTTGAGCCTGTAGTGGACTCTCTGACTACAATTTCAAACTGGGCTGATTTAGAATCATCAAGATCGGCATTTTCACTGCGTGGGTCAATTTTGCAGTGTGAATTTATACTACTTTATCGTTGGAAAAGTTTTTGGCTTGGCATTACCTTTGTGCAAGCAGTTTCAAAAAACAAAAATAGACTTAAAAGAGGCAGTTAAATTAGCGGTAATTACTAAGAAAGAACTTAAAAGTCTCAGATCTGATGGCGAACGATCGTTTCATAAAGTGTATGAAGAAGCTGCCAATTTAGCACAAAATTTAGAGGTTAACATGAGAGTCCCACGGCTTGCCGGTCGCCAAAATAATAGAGCTAACCCCCAAGATCTTTCTAATTCTCCTGAACAATATCTTAGAGTCTCAATTTACTATCCTTTTTTGGACACTTTCATTCAACAATTAGACGAACGTTTTTTAAATCATGAGAGCTGAATGGGTTTCAATCGTTATTTCCCAAGAATACGTCAGATGATTATGCCGATTTTGAAGAACTTTGTGAAACCTACCAAGAGGACCTCACTTTGTGCAAAAACGATATATTATCAGAATATAAGTTATGATGTCAAAATATATTCGGTTTGAAAGAAAAGCCACAAAATGCATTGGATGCTTTAAAACTATGCAACACAGAGTTTTATCCCAACATCTTCCGTTTGCTTCAAATTTTAGCCACTCTACCGGTATCGACAACAACACCAGAAAGAACATTTTCCAGTTTAAAGCGAATAACAACGTATCTAAGGAATTCTATGTCTGAGGTAAAATCTTATTTTCATATAATAAATTACTACCCAATTAATTGCATTTTGGTCCTATTTACTAACTTAGGTCTATCTTTTAAGGGTCGACTTAATGGTTTGGCAGTTCTATTCATTGATAATAATATAGAAATTAGTCCCGAAGAAGTTCTGGATGAAATGGCGAAGAATCCACGGCGATTGGAATTTTTAATTTAATCAAAACAAAAATGTTCCTTTTTCAGAAAGTTCCTTTTATTTTCTATTTTATCGTATCAGAAGAGTTCCTAATTTGTGATTTTTTAGTTATTAAAGCATAGCATAGTACATATTTAGTTAGTTTTTTTGGACCCCCCCCCGGAGCTAAATCCTAAATACGCCACTGCTCCTAGGTGTAATAAGACTTTGAGATCCCTTAAATTTAGAAACCGCCATTTTTTATATCATTGAAGAAGAAAACTTTCAATACGGACAAAATCAATCTCGACTTTTCCAACAAATCCCAATTAATAAACAATTAATACAAAATAAACCCCAAAATTATCAACCACCAAAACAATATCAAAAACCCAATCCTCCATTGTATAAAACTCCATATAGGCCTCCATATCAACCACAAAATTATCAATCACAACATTATCAATCACAACCTTATCAATTTTTACATTTCCAAAATAATTACACCCCTCAAAATTTTAAACAACCATTCCCAACTGGTCCTGTAAGTATCCCACTAACCGAGACGTTTTTGGTCCCCAAAAATCGACGAATGTATTTAAACCCAATTGACAAACCCCACCAAACAGACCAACCCCCATGTCTGGAATCTCCACCGCAGTTTCAAACCCAAGAACTATGCGACCAAACTATTTTCAACCATCTGGTCCCCGTAAATTTAAGCACACGAACTTTACAACCTAAAAAAATAATGAATCTTTTGATCCACAAAATTACGAACAAAATTTCGAAGAAACTTACCCTGACAATCAAACATACGACGAAAATTACTCACAATAAGAATTTTTAAACGAACAATCATTTGAACCCAAACTGAAAATGAAAATTTTCATACAGAATCTATGAACAACAAGACAACATAGCATACGACGATTATATAGAAATAAATACAATAATTGACGAAAATGCCTTAGGATATATTGAATAAGAAAACCCCCCATTTAAACTTTTAATAGATACAGGTGCAACAAAATCTCTTTTAAAACCGGAATTAGCAGAAAAATAGTTGCAGATTTTAAGCAGACGTAAATATATCAAATATTTTTTCAATACAAAGTGATAATTTGATTACTTTTTATTTGTTTACATTTCACTATTTTGACGGCTTAATAGGTTTTAATGATATAAATAACTTAGGATTTAAAATTGATTTCCCTAATAGAATAATTTTTAATAATCATATTTAAATTCCTATTCAATATAGAAATAAACCACCAAATGATAAGCAAATTGTAAAGATCAATGCATTTGAAATAATAAAAGTGAAAGTCAAGCTAAATGTTTACTTGGGTGATGAAATAATAACAGAAAAATTATTAAATAATTGCGATATACCAGAAACTCTATCTGAAGCTAATAAAGGTTTTGCGTATATTGAAATAAAAAACTTTACAGATCAATAGCAAGTCATTGAACTAACTGAACCTTTAATTGTATTCTCTTTCCTGATTCAAAAAAAGAACATTTTGGAATTTTTAATATAGAAAATTTAATTAGAACAGACCATATTAACTCAGAAGAACGAAATAAAATTGTAAACCTATGTTAAAAATACTGAGACATTTTATATATAGGCGAAAACTCACTGACATTTACTAATCAGGTAAAACATGACATAAAAACAACTGACGAAATTCCTGTTCACACCAAATCTTAAAGATATCCTTTTTGTCATAAATCTGAAGTCCAAACACAAATTAACAAAATGTTAGATGATAGTATTAAACGACCTTCCATTAGTCCTTGGTCCTCTCCAAGTTGGATTGTGCCTAAGAAACTCGACGCCTCAGGTAATAAAAAATGGCGTATTGTTGTCGATTACCGCAAGGTAAACGAAAAAACAATAGATGACAGATATCCAATCCCTAACATAAATGACATATTTGACAAACTCGGACGTTGTCAATATTTCTCTACTCTGGACTTAGCCTCAGGGTTTCACCAGATCGAAATGCATCCGGAAAGCATTTAAAAAACGGCATTCAATGTTGAAAACGGTCATTTTGAATATACACGTGTGCCTTTTGTACTAAAAAACGCACCAGCGACTTTTCAGAGAGTAATGGACAACATTTTACATGACTTACAAAATAAAATTTGTCTGGTTTACATGGACGATATTATTATATTTTCAAGTTCACTTGATGAACAAATCTCGAATTTACAATTAGTGTTTGACAAACTAAGAAAATCAAAATTAAAAATCCAATTAGATAAATCGGAATTTTTACGCAAAGAAGTCGAATTTTTGGGACATGAGTTACACCAGAAAGAATTAAACCAAATCCTAATAAAATTAAACAATTTCCAATACCAAAAACCGTAAAAGATATTAAATCATTTTTAGGTTTAATAGGCTACTATAAAAGGTTTATAAAATACTTTGCTAAAATTACTAAACCCTTTACTAAATGTCTAAAGAATGATTCATGATCAAGAATTTATTAAAACATTTGAATACTGTAAAATCCTTTAAACAAATTATCCGATACTACAATACCCTGATTTTAGTAAACCATTTAATGTAACAACAGATGCATCTAATTTTGCAATAGATGCAGTTTTATCCCAAGGTATGATAGGAATCGATTTACCAGTAGAGTAAGCATCACGTACATTAAACCCAGCAGAGTGTAATTATTCTACAATTGACAGAGAATTACTTGCAATTGTAGACCTCATCTGTATGACAAATTTAAGATCGTAACAGAACATAAACCTCTAGAATGGTTAACTAAATTAAAAAAAAACCTAATTCACGTCAAATACGCTGGAAATTAAAGCTAGAATACATGATTTCGAGGTGATGCTGATGATCTATCCCGTGTAAAAATTCACCCTATAGAAACGTCATCAGTTATAGCCGAACCCGGTTTTATTGACAATGAAATTAAACGTTATCTTAAAAAAGAATATAATCTTCCAAATATAGACGATGAAACTTTAAACGAAATTTTTGGTACAACATATGACAATACTAACCCTTCTAAAATCAATATAATTTCTGACATACAAATTAGACCTCCAGATTTGAAAACAAACGAATTAGATGAACAATCATCTCTTTCTACGATTCATACCGCTATAGAAGACCCAATTCTTACAATCCCTATAACAGAAAAATGCGTTAATTGCTATACAAACCAAATTATAATCTCTGGTAATTACTAAAATATAATCTGTGATAATTACTAAATAATAACTACATTACCTTTTACAGAAAAATATAGGACACGAGTTTCTTTACCAGTTTTAAATTTTGAACAAGGTATAATATTTTTTTTTAAAGAACATGTAACTAGCAAGAAAACCTATTTTCTTCACTTTAAAAATCCTGAAATAATTTCAGACTTTACAGTTTTTGTTCAAGGAACATTTAAAAATTTAGCCTTTAAATTGTGGTATGAACGAAACGGAACTTAAAAGAAAATATTATTGGCCAAATTTAAAAGTAGATGTTGAAAAATTTATCAATAACTGTGATATCTGCAAAACATCAAAGTATGACAGAAATCCACCAAAAATTAAATTTAACTCAACACCTCCCAGTCCTAAGCCTTTTCAAGTAGTTCATACCGACACCTTCCAAATTGATAATCAAAAATTCCTTACACTAATAGTCACATTTTCAAGATATGCACAAGCATACAGAATAATTGTAGCCAATTCCATTAATACCATCGATGGTTTGTTAAACTTTGCCACACATCATGGCCTCCCACGTACTATTGTATCAGACGGTGTTACGGAATTTAATAACACGACCTTTAAAGATTTTGCAAAGTTTCATAATATCAACTTACACTTTTGTACACCTTACAACTCAAATAGTAACTCTCCTGTAGAAGGCCTACACTCGACTTTAATTGAACACATGTCTGCGTGCTACACTGATAGTAGACTCGATCAAATAATACAATATGGAATTTTAGCATATAACAATTCAATTCATTCGGTAACGAAATTATTAGTGGACAACAAATAGCATCGATACGCTTGATATAACGGACGAAAAAATAATTAATGATTACATCGAAAATTATAGGAAAAATATTTATAACTTGTACGAAAAAATTCTAGATATAAATAAAAGAACTAAAGAATTAGTTATTACTAACCGCAATGAAAAAGGCGAAGATCCCATAGAATACGAAGAAAATAAAAAAGTGTTTGTCAAAATACCAACTTGCTCAAAGACCAAACCCAAATTTAAACCGGCAACCCTTAAAGAAAATTTAGGCATTAAAGGAAAAGTAGAATCAAACGTTATTATACATAAAAAGAATATAAAAAAGCCAAAGGAACTAACTAATAATTCTTCATTACAGGAACAAAATGACGATTCTGACCCTGACATTGACAATGACAATCCTGGCCCAGACATAGTCTTGATATAACCTCGTTAGAAAATAACCCAGGACTTTTATTTTTATCGGAAACCCTAAGAACTGCAGATTCACCGAAATTGAACAACCTAATGTTTCGATCAAACAAGTAAATGAAGATCATCTCTTAGTTATAACAGCAAAACAACTTCGTTTAACAACTTACTGTACAAATTATGAGTTCCAGATAATCCAAGGAAGAAATTTAATAAAAATCCCAAAGAACTGCACCATTGAAGTTAACAATCGAGAATATGGTAACAAGCAATCAGCATTCCAAACACACCCCATCTTGTTGCCAACATTCAAAATTCAAGAGAACACCGACATTAAGAAGCTTGTAAAAATTCAAATAGAGCACGTTCCATTATCCGAACTTTACCACATTCAGAAAAGTATAAATTCCCTGAATCCCATAAAAATCGATGAAATCAATCAAAATACAACAAGTAATTGGATTCTTTGGATGGTTTTATTAATTTTGGTCATCAAAATTGGAATAGCCTATGGATTGCTCCAATACAAGAAAAGAGGAATAGGATTCCAGAGGTCATCACCCAAAAGAAAATAAATTGCGACCCCTTCAGTCCTGTTCACTCCGGAAATTGCCTTCTAAGGATGGAGGAGTTATATCGTTGAATTCTACGAATTATAAATTATTTTATCTATGTCTATTTTGCACTTTATAGTTTATTTATACACCTTGTATTGTAATATTAAATTAATAAGATTTCCGTTCAAGCAAACACACCATTTCGAAATAAAGTTGCTTTTTTAAAAAGTGTTTTCAACAAGAAAGTTATTTAATTAATTATAAAATATTTTTATTTTAATTATATAATATATGAGGAGGTGCATTCCAAATTAGTTGTTTTTGAGCAAAATGTAAAAAACCTTACACGTAAGTACCAACGCATATCAGGCCAACAGAAATATTTAGGCATAAGTAAAACATGTATTTACCTTGATTAAAAAGGTATAGCTCCAATTTAAAATAATTTAAAATTACATACGTATAAGCCGAGTTCTGCATGATATAACCAATAGATAAGGCAAGTTTTGGTAAGTAAGAGCGCCTTAAATGCAAAAAAAATTCTGTTCTAATCTAAAATCTAGGCAGAAAAAGTGACAGTATTGCCTGTCGTTCAACGTTTGTTTAGACGCCATTTCAACTTACACAACATTTAACAATGCCTAGGCATTAATTTAATTAAGGCATGGGTACGTAAGTTTAAAGAGACTGGTTCAACGACAAACAAACGCATAACCAACCGTTTAAGAACAATAAGAAGCCCTGAAAACATTGAGGTGGTGAGAGCGTCTGTGCGGCAGGAACCTAATTTGTCGGTTCGCAGGCGTGGATCTGCTTTAAATTTGACAAGAGCCTCAATGCAACGAATTCTCTGGAATGATTAAAAATGCACCTTTACAAAATTCAGATCGTGCAGGAATTGAAGCAGACAGACTATGCTGAGAGACTTTTATTCGCCAACGAAATGTTAAACTGGTTTTAATCTTTCGATAAAATCTTATTTTATGATGAAGCTCATTTCCACATTAATGACTTTGTCAATAAACAAAATTGTCGTTACTGGGGTGAAACAAACCATAAAAAAAACATCAAAGGCCTTTGCATAGCCCAAAAGTCACAGTTTGGGCCGCCATTTCAGCATCGGGAATTATCGGTCTGTTCTTTTTTGAAGACAATTGCGGCTGCGCAACAACAGTGAATTCCGAACGTTATGTCGATATGATACGTGATTACACCTGCTCTTCAAGAATTTGAAGGATTTGACCAAGAAACCTGGTTACAACAAGACGGAGCCACAAGTCACACTTCAAATCGGTCTTTGCCCGTTGTTCAGGCGCTTTTTCCTAAAAAACTGATTTCCCGAAGAGGAGACATAAGCCATAAGTGAGCAAACTTTTCGGAGCGTGATTGCAAATTTTAGAGCCCGACTTCAAAAGTTCCAGGAAAAAAGGGGCAACATTTGGACAATATAATTAAAACAAAATTCCCAAGTATTCTCTTTAATTTAATAAATAAATTTCAAAATTGATCAATTGGTTTTTATAAATTTAAATTCAAAAAGTGAAAAACCAAAGGAGACACCCTGTATATATGTTTTTTTTCTCTTCGATACCTGGCGCAAATTTGTTATAAAAAAAACAAAAAAAAAACGACCTAAATGCAAATTGCACAATTGAAAAAAATATCAAAAAATCTATGTCAAAACAAGATTCCAACGCTAGTTATATCGTTGGAATCGGATAAATAATTCATCCATAATAATTATTTAAATTGTTTAATGTTGTAATTAAAACTTTGACTTTTAATATAAATGACAATTTTTTTTACAAAATCCTTGAATAGAGATCAATTAAGATTCTATTGAAATGATAGAGTAAGCAGTGTTAAACTATATCTTTATTAATAATTTGTTGGGTTTTTATGTCCAGCAAATTTAAACAATTTATAAAATATATCTTATTATTTGATGTTTTCGAACTATCAACTTAAAACAATTTATAATTACTTATATAATATATATTACTTATATAATTATTTATATTCAAAACAAATATCAGTAGCGCACTAGACAAAACATGTGTTTTTTATTGTATTTTATTCTGTACGCTACTGACTGGAACTTTTGCTGACTAAGTAGTTCATAGCACAAGGTCGAGTTTACGCTATGAAACTACTTGTAAGATCAATATCTAAACAGTAATAACAAATTTATGTTTAACTATTTCTCTGTTAAACTTGTGCTTTAACCTATGATTGAACATTCTGCCGGCTCAAGATTTTTCTGTTCGATCTTTTGGATTTGTGTTAGTAATGTAAAATACTATAGAAAAAATTTATCTACAATCAAACATTAATTTTGACCTAATTCAGGTGGCCCGTTTGAGAAATTCTGACCCTAATGCCTTAAATAATGTTTACAATAAAAATATAGAAAGTGGAAGCCAAAGAAAAAGGAAACCTTAAAAGATTTAGAATGCTCAACTCAAAGTTTGTTGCCATAACTGAGGAATACACTGCTGAAGATGATGATGCGGTGAGTTATTTAATTTTGTAGCTAAGTACATACATTTTCAATTAACGTTTTATGATCTATTTGCACATTAATATGATATGGCATATTTTAGACTAAAAAAATGGAAAAAAAAATTACCTCATGGTCTGCCTTTAAATCTGCAATTACTGTGAAAAATTATAAGCAGATTTTCACAACAAAGGAAAATAACTATGATGAAATAAGCAAACTTACAAATTAAAGAAGAACCAAGCACATTTGACATCACAAGTACTTGAACAAACAGAAGATAAAAATCCATTAAAAACAGAAATTGATGAATTAAAAAGTCTCAACCTTGCTATTCAATACAAGGTGATCGATGCAGTAAAAGGTACATTGATAAACCAAAATTATATATATATATATATCGCATGTTTACTACCAATTCCTCCAATCTACATTTTTTGTCAAATATGAGTTATTTGCCTCAATAGGTAGAACGATATTAAATCTTATGGAATAGAAATAGCTTCCAATAAATAAAATTAATATTTTAGAGACAATTGTCAAACGAAAATCTATTATCAGGTTATTTTCTATTATATAATAATGTATATGAGTATAAGAATGTATGGCTGGCTCCATCGGCATCGTCTTACACTGATCTCTTAGAGTTATTTTTACCATCTTTCAGTTATCATACGTATCCCGCAACTGCACAGTATTACCTGTATTTGATGTATCCGAATTTTCACCCCGGCTGCAGCCCATGGTAAATCTCTCTTAGAAGGTCGTGGATAACAGTTTCGATGGTTAAGGCCCTTCCCGGAATTTTGTCTTGTCCCCACATTGAACTGACCCAAAACTAAGTACAATCCGGAATCTCAGGGGTTTAGTTGGTTAGTTCGCTGCTTGGACCTATCCTTGCTGTATACATACATGTAGTACATCCTGTTCGTTTGTTTCTGGGTCTGGTGAAAATTCGAAAACTGCTGTAAGCAATTTGTTTGCCCCCCCTGTGGAAAGCATTCTTCTGTCTAGAGGTTGGTAACTATCGATAGATAGTTTTCGGTAGTCGGCAATGTAACTATTGATATTTATAGATTTTTATTATTTTATTTTATTTATTATTATTACTGAAGTATTGAGAAAATTATCAGTAAAGGAAGTAGATACAAATTATTCTGTCCCCTTTTGCGTAACCTTAGCTTTTTTTCAGTAAAGCCCCTAAGTGATGTTGGCGCGTTTATTGTTGTTCTCTGGGTGAATGCACTTTTTGTTTATGTAACTATATATTGGGTTGCCCGATGACTGTTTGTTTAGTTTAGCCATACTATGTTTTGTACCGATTTATATTGAATAATTACGTTTGCTGTGCTGTGGGAATTTTTTTTCTTGCTTGGCTGTTTTGTTTTCCTGGTTTAGATTTGTTGAAGACGCTTAACCTCTTCAAGAGGGTTGGTAGATAATGCAAGATTACTTCTTGATAGAGAATGCATATTACTTGATGCGATTTTAAAGATATTTTATCTTTTGTTCGATCCACTTTGGGAGACTGGTACATTGAATTTACCTGCTCAGGTAGTCTAACTGATTTCGTACATTCTTTACTTGTTGGGAGGTTGTATTGCACAGCACTGTCGTATTACACCATATACACTTCAAATTGCCTAATAAACTGAACTACTGATTCTGTTGGGCTTTTATTACTACCGTACTCTTTGGAAGTGATCGCTTGCGCGACTGTATAATATGATTTAAGTTTTTGCATATAGGAGGTATTGGTAGTAAACAGTCAATATTTTATTGTTGTTAAAATAAAGTAATAACTTGGTTATGAATACACCTGTACTTTTTAGCAGAGTAAATATATAGCGATTGTTTGAATATAGATAATAGATTTATTACTTATAAAATACTTTAGTTTTAATGTAACAAAATCGTTAAAAACAAAAATCGCTGTGGTTGGTATTTTTGTTCAGTAAAAACATATCGCAATTGAGCGTTGCCTAATTTTATTTAGAAATAATATTTTATTGATAAAATTACAGAACAATCCAGACTTTGGACTCCAAATTAATTTAATATTTTAATAAAAGTATAAATAAATTTATTATAACTTAAATTATATATAAAATTGAAGTCGTGAAATCGGTATAGATAAATAGATAGTTTTTGACTTTACCTATAACTATCGATAGTTTTAAAACCTAAAAAATGCAATGCAGCTTTTTATCCTTCTAAGTTTGTGTCTGTTTATTGGATAGCATCATAGAAAAAGAATAATATTCTATTGTTATAATAATAGTACCCAATGTGTAGAAAATTCCCTAAACTGGGGAAATTTTCTTAAGGTTGGCAACGTTATATTATAGCATGAAGTCAGCTGTTTTAATACGCGAGGAAATAAAAAGTGAGGTTAGTTTTGGCAGTGAAAAGTTTCAACGCGGTAAAGTAGTAAAAAAATATCGAAAAATGAAAGAAAACGATGGCGAAGCGTCCAGTGATCGCGAAAACACCCAACCACAAAAAAAAGTTTAAAAACTACGGCTGGATTTCAACATCAAAGACAAAGAACCTGCTTGCACATCCTCTGGAAGCGGCCCACTGTTATTTTTTATACTATTGTTTTAAAATTAAACACGAAACCGTCTTACTTAGTCAAAACTAAGATTATTATGCACTTTTTACAGAACTCGATCGCGCTTCAAACGCTCTATCCTCTGGAATTTTTTTAAACTATCAAGTGATGGAAAATCTGCCCTTTGTCAGATCAAGAAATGCAGCGGAAATGTAAGCAGTTGCGGAAATACAACGAATTTGAAGGAACTAGGGCTGTTTAAATAATATAATTTATAACCTAAGATTATAATATATTACGTCACTGACAATAGTTTTGTAAAACAAATATTTTATTATTTTCAGAGAAGCAAACAATCTTAAACGAAAGGCCAATCAAAAAAGCATACAAAAATACATGAAAAAAAGTGTGAGCAGGATAGTCGCTCCAACAAACGTAAAAAAGCAGTTGGACATTGCTGTTACAATGTTCGTTATACGCGATTTGCAACCACTATGCGTCGTTGAAGATAGCGGATTTGTTAATATAATCATGAAACTGGATCCACGTTTTTCACTGCCAAGTCGGCGTCATTTGCGGGATGTTTTGACCACAAAAACCTATGAAGGAACTGTAGAAAATATCTCTTAGGTTAAAAAAACGCGAAGTAAGTAGATTTCGTACTTTTTTTATCCATTATATTATACTTTACTTTTTTTATATATGTTTTCAAAGGTATATGTCAATAACTTTTGAAGGCTGGACAAGTCGCACTACTCAAGGATACTTGACTGTAACATTTTTTAAGCAGTACAGCTTTAGAAGCTATCACAATGGGTGTGAATCCAAACCCGGGTCGTTCGACAGCAGAATAACTAAAAAAGTTGGTTGACTTAGTTCTTGGAAAGGTTTCAGAACCCAATATTGTTTGTGCAGATCACGCAGCAAATATTAAATTAAAGTCCCTCTCGTATTTTTAGACTAAAAATATGCAGTGTAGCTCTCATGGTATACAACTTACAGTTAAAACAGCGATTTTCCACACTCCTAGGAAAAAAGATGGGAAACGTAAAATAATGATGTTACAATGAATAATAAATGATTATTAATTCATACAAACGTTAATTTTAAATTCATAGGATTTTTAAAAGTAAAGGTGGTAAAAATCTTGATGAAACATCCGTTTATGTCATCATCAAAAAATGCAAACAAATTACAACCTTTTTCCATCAAAGCGGAATAGCGATAAAAGAGCTTTCTCGAGAGTTAAAAAGTCGAAACCTGGCTGATGTAAAGCTCATTCAATCGGTTTATACTTTCAGGAACTTCTCCTACTACCTGCTTGAAAGTATGCACCGCGCAATGGATGCAATCATCGTTGTTTTCGCAAAATCGGAAACGAAAATTCAGGCATTGACATCGCTGGAAGTAAAAGTAATTTCTGAAATATTAAAAATTCTGGAACCATTTGTTGACGCAACTACCCAACTAATTGGGGAAAGTTATGTCACATTGTCTATGGTGATACCTTTAACAAAATTGCTTTTACAAAAGCTGGAAGATCTCGAACATGTAATAGAAATTTCAGCAGTGCAAGATTTTTTTAAGAAACTTTTAGCTTGCACAAAAGGGCGTATGTTAAAATACGAAGAACGCTCAATCTCTTCGTAAGTATTAAAGAAAAAAAAAAGAAAAAAGTTTCCTTAAAATTAAAACGTTATTTGTTTACAGTATTTGCACAGATTCAAGCGGTACGCTTTTGTTTCCGACGTCAGTTTATACAAAAACGAGTTTGTAACTTTTCATTTTTTGTCTAGGGCTATTTTATCTAATGTTTTATTCAGGCACTGGTTTTCTTAATTTATCGTGTTGTCAAACTAAAAATAAATAATTAGTAGTATGTCACTAGTTAAACGTATATTTTATAGAATTACTTACCCAAGACAATTACTCGTTGGATTTTGTGCGTGGAATTCTTGCGGATTGTTTGAGACCTTTTAATGTGTTGGTAACCTCCTGTCTATCTAAACTTGTGCCTTCCAGACGTCGCCACCTTAGTCGCCCCTACGACTGAGCTGACGGGGAACGTGCCGTTCAAATGGACCGAGCACTGCAAGCAGAGTTGGGTCCAGACGAAGGAAGCCTTGGAGAAGCCACAACGACTGGAGCGGCCCCACAAGGACTGGAAGTTTGTCCTACAAGTCGATGCTTCCGAAGAAGGAATGGGGGCCGTTCTAATGCAAGAGGACTCCGAGGCCAGGCGACATCTGATCCACTTCAGCTCGTCGAAGTTCCATAAGGCCAAGAAGCAGTACCATATCAACGAAAAGGAGTGCCTGGCCATGGTGTGGGCAATCCGAAGATACCGCCACTACCTCGAGGACAAACACTTTGTCCTGCGGACGGACAACCGGGCCCTTGTATGGTTACAAAGTCATCAGGACGACCGGGCCAAGTTGACAACCTGGGCATTGCTGCTACAAGAATTCTCCTTCACCATCGAACACGTCGCCGGGAAGGCGAACCAGCTCCCGGATTACCTATCCAGACATGCAGCCGAGTGTCCAGAGGGGCCTGCCATCGCCTACGATGAACTGATTCCAACACCAGCGGTTTGTGTCCTTCAAGAGGTCGAACCACTAGTAAAGAGGATCATGGCTGGACAACTGGTGGATCCTGTCACCCAAGGCCTCACTCGAAGGACACGGAAGGCAGAAGAAGAGGGGCCCCAAGACGAAGTCGACGAAAGTCTACTGGCCAACTTCATCGTGTCCGTGAAAGGAAACCTGTTCCAACAGCGCCAGGACGGGACGTGTCGGGCGTACGTGCCCGAAGGCATGCGTCAATAAGTCCTGGAACGCTATCACGCTGGAGAGGACAGCGCACACCCGGGCCAAAGGGAGACCCAGCGGGCCATTAATGCCCGTTTCTACTGGTATGGAATGCAGTCAGAAATAAGAAGGTTCGTGCAGAAGTGCCTAGTCTGCAAACAGATCAAATGACGAAATGTACAAGCTGCGGCGCCGATGTCTACACACACACCGACCCGAGCATGGCAGTACATCTCGATCGACACACTGGGCCGCTACCGCGGCGATTGAACTGAACCAGTGTACGCCGTCATCCTGGAAGACGTACTCACGAAGTGGACCGAAGCAGTTCCAGTCAAAGACACCCGCCATCAGACGATCACCGAGGTCCTTGACGCAGTCTTCATGCGATATGGGGTCCCAGAAGTGGTGATCGCCGATTGCGCCACCCAGTTCACCCTCACCAAGTGGGAAAAGTACTGCAGGAAGCTGGGAATGCGGGTCGTCAACTCGGCGACATACCACCAGCGGGCCAACCCCGTCGAGAGGCAGGTCCAAGAAGTCAAGAAAATCATCAGGGCCTTGATGAAGACCAACGCTGAGAAACGATGGCACGAGCTACTCCCGAGGGCCACAGGGATCCTCCGCAACAGAGTCAACCGTGCCACCGGCGAAACACCAGCCTTCCTAGGATTCGAACCTCGACTTCCTGGCGACTGGCTGATTCCTGGAGTTCAGGAAATCCGCCAAACGAGGGAACAACATGATGTGCAGCTCCAGGACCGAAAACAGATCTTCGCCAGGGAGTACGTGAAGAATCCAGAACAGCAACCAGTCACCTTCAATGTGGGTGACACAGTCCTGGTCAGAAACCATGACCGGGGCACTTTTGGAGATCCTTGGCTGGGGCCGTTCCCTGTCATCACCAGGACATCGCCAACCATCTACGAGGTCCGGACGAACAGCAGGATACTGCCCATCCACGTCGACGATCTCCGACCAGCCCCGGCTGGAAATGTGCAATAAGCAGAGTAACTGTGCAGTTCGCGAAAATTCAAGTGCGCGGGGAAAACTTTGTACGAACAGTGATAACACATGTACCTTGATCGTATTTATTTTATGTAAATCGTTTTATTTTTATAAATAAATAGGGCGACTTGTCATAAAAACCAGGGGGGCATGTTGAAATTCGAGTCAGTCGATTTCTTATAAAAGAGCGGAAAACATCCGCTCAAATCAGTTCGAGACTACCACTCGAGAAGGCAACAAAGCTCCCTTGGTTGTCACCAGAAACAAGTCGCCGCTTCCAGTTGAACTCTGCATTTTATTTCGAAGACCTCTTGCAGGCACACATTTCCCTTACTGCTCTTCGAGAGTAGGGAAGCTGGTACAAACTGTTCTTTTTAGAACAAACAAAAAAGGAAAAGACTTTGGTAGTCATTACTTTCTAAAAAGAAAGAAAAAACTCACAACGTGAAAGCCATCACCAGGTCCCGGGTCAGCGATTCCAGGACTGCCAGCGAGGTCGAGCGACGTCCAACCACCAGGTTGCACAGGTGGTCAACATCGCCGACCAGTTCCACCAGCGGGGCCGCTCTAGGTCCACTAGCTGGGCTGATCCAGGTCCATCAGCGGGGCCAACCCAGGTCCACCAGCGGTTCCGATCCAGGTCCGCCAGCGGGGCCGCTCCAGGTCCGTTAGCGGGGCCGATCCCGGTCTACCAGTGGGGCCGACCCAGGTCCGCCAGCAGGGACGATCCCAGGGGCTCCGAGGGGGCACGTATGGTGGTTACCAGGTCCCAAGCAAGGATGGATGCAAACCAGGTGCCTTTGGGCCGAGGACAGCTTCGAACAGGGCACACCTTCGCCACCATCTTCGGACGCAACCATCCTCGTCGGGCAAGAACCCGGAAGTGTCCAGGTGCCGGTCCAGGGATCTACGACGATTCCAGAGCACCGAGTCACCCGTGTACAACAGGATCGATTTAATGTTTGATGTTGTGAAACTCGAGCAGACAGGATACACCGACGCTGAACTAAGTAGGCGTCGGTCCCCTTTTATGCTTCGTTTTTTGTTTTTACCACATGATTTTGTTACAACTTTCTGTATTCTACGTGCATGAGGTTAGTGCTTATTGTATGTCCGTCCAATTTTACTCTAATGTGTATATATCATATTTTATTGAATATTTTTAATTATGTGCTCGTTACCAATTTTTAAACATACAAATGGCCCTATGCTTATACATATAAGATGCTTTTTCTGACCAAAATTCAAGTTCCTTAGCCTTCCGCCGCTGCGAAGTTTTTGCTGCGGTCTATTGTGGGTCAACTTAAAATTTGCTGGACTTATAGTCCGAGCGAGAGTCGGTCATGTAAGACCTTAGACTCTCAGCCCATCAAGTTTAAGAAAAGAAAATTAGTTTAATTTTTTTGATTAAAGTGATCATGAATTTAATTGAAGAGAAATTGAAAAGGACGCCAGCGACCAAATACATATTCTCTAGCAGGGGAGAGCCCGTGCACCAACTATAATTAGATTGGGCACGGGACAATGTCTGCATTTAGTTAAGTATTTAATTCAAAAATGTTTAGTAGTTGCTGTAAGAGAAATTAAAAAAATGGCAGTGTGTTAGTATATAACAAAAATATAGCGAGAAACAAAAAGAACGCGCTTAAGATTAGGTTTAGTTATGTTAGTAGAAACAAAGTCAGCAAGCAGAAGATAAAAACAGTAGGAGCTGAGGGCATTTTAGTAGAATTATGGGAGATTCTGTCTTCTTTTTTTTTCATATTTATTTATTTATTTTGTTTTTTTTCTTTTTATTTTATTTTACTTTTT